ACACTAGCACTTGTCATCCTCTGTCATTATTTTATTTGTTCCCCTCATTCAGCTCCCTGGGTAGAATGTAGCTTCCCTCAGGGTAAGGACCATGTCCAATTTGTTCACCAATGAGCTCCAAAAGTAGCATAGAGTCAGGCACAGGTAAATAAACAGTGCTTAAAGGAATGAAAGAAGGAATGAATGAAAGCACAGTGCCTTCCTGGGGAGCCCTCCGGAAATCATCCTATTATCAGTATCCAGCGCTCTTGTTTCTGATGCCCTTACAGCATCCAGAACAGAGGGTGTTAACAACTTTGTTCAAAACTTTCCATGAAGTCTGGAGGCTCTTGCTTTTGGACCTCCTACTATGTGCTGAGAACCATGCTATGGGCTTAAAAAGCATCATCTCCATTATTCTCAGCAGCTACCGCAGGAAGTAAGTCCTCTTTTCTAGGGCTGCATTTGTGGGCTCTAAGCACTTTGGCCTTCACGGGCCCTTCTTTCATAAAGAAATATTAAAAATTACATATTATACTGCATTAGTTCTTTATACCAATTATACATATACTAATGTAATCCAAGCTGGATTCATTGTCATAATAGTTACTGTTCTTCTGATTTAAAAGAAATTAAAACATTTTCGTGGGCCCTAGACCCTGTGTCTGATAAGTCAGCCCTGCTATGGGGCCAGTTGTCCGATGAGGAAACAGATGATTTCAGGACTAAAATTCACAGGGAAGAAGTGGAGGGGATGCGAACCCAGGCCAAGCATGGCTCTAGTTCAAAACTTCTAACCGGCTGTGCTCCAGGGTCACTCCAGGAAGTTTCCTAGGCCCGCACCCCACCCAGCTTCCAGGCCCTCAGCACCTGGATCAGCGAGCCTGGGGCAATTCCCGGTGCCCCGCCCCTTTCGGCCTGGACCCGCCCCTTCCACTTGGCCCCGCCCCGCCCCGCCTCCCGCTTGGGCCCGAGGCGCACGGCCGCGGGAGGCCGGGCCGCGGGTCCGCGCGTTGCGCACTCCCGCCCCGCCGTCGCATGCGCCGTAGCCGCGCGCTCGCTCCCGGGAGAGGATGGCGGGGGCCGCGCCGGGCGCCATCATGGACGAGGAGTACTTCGTGAGCGCGGCCGAGCGGGGCGACGACGCTTGACGGCGGCCAGGTGAGGGGGCACCGGGCGGCCCGCCCCCGCCGCGTCGGCCCCGCGGTCACCTTGTGGTGCAAGCACAGCGCGCCGCCCTGCCCGTCGCCTCCCACCCCGGCCGGCGGGGCCCGCCCCTTACGTCCCGCCCGCCAGGGCTACGCACGCGGCGTGTGGGCTCCGCGCCTGCCCTGGCGGCCCGCAGGGCGGGGGCAAGGCAAGGGCGGCGCCAGTCGTGACACCGGGTGACCCCAGGTCCCTGCCGCCATTGCCACTGCATCAAACTGCCGGCCCCCCACGTGGGCCCGACGGGCCGACGCAGTGGCGGGTGGAGTTGGGAGCGGCCCGTCCTGAAGTTTGTCACGTGGCACCTTCGAGGCCAGAGTCGGGCCAGGGCCTCGCCTCGCCTAACAGAGGCGCTGGGCGCGGGCGCAGGGGGCATGGCGGCCCGGGCTGCGCCCCACTGACCGAGCCTCAGCCACGACCCAGTTCCGCCCCGCACTGGGCTCGCGCCGATGGGGCTGGGCCCGGCGAGCGGGCACTGTCGCTCCCAATGGCGCCATGTACCTGCGCCGATGAGGGGGAGAAGTCAGGGAAGGTGAAGGGATGGCTGAGCTGAGTTCGGGACGATCCTGCTGGGTCCATTTTTGTGACTCCTGTCCTGTCCCCGGGGGCCCAGCTTGCTGATGGAGAGAGGCGGGTAGATGTGACGCCCACGCGGGGGAAGCTACGAGCGAGGGAAACGTCCGGCCGCAGGTGCGCACCCCCAGCTGAGCCTGGCCATGGGCAGCCGGAGGCTGAGGGCACCCCCAGAGCGGATGTGTCTTCGGGGTGCGGCTTACGAAAGTAGCTGGCCCCGGCCCGGTGGCCGCGTTGGTGGAGCATCGCCCGGTACAGAAAGGTTTCCGGGTCGATTCAGGTCAGGCACATATTAGGTTGAGGGTTGATCCCGTGTGTACAGGAGGCAACAGATCCGTGTTCCCTCTCTAAATCATAAAAAATTTTCTCAGGTGAGGGTAAAAAATAAACATTTTAAAGATGCCTGTGCATCG